GTTCTCAGCACCAGTGACTGTATTCTACATTTGTGGGGGTCTCCCAAGGGGTGCTCAGGAGACCTGACGCCACTCCTGGAGATTCTTGGTCAATCAGGCCGGTGGTCTAGTGTCTCCTGCTCTGTCTTTGACCAACTTCCAGAACTTCTTAGTAAGTAATAGGGTACCCCAAATGAAGCCAATCTTGCTGTGTTTATGCAAAAGAACGAGCCAGGTTTGTTAAGCTGTCTGGCAGAGTTAAAATGAAGGAGGTGGGCTGGAGTGATAGCACAGGGGTAGGATGATGTTTGCCTTGCACGCGGCCCACCCGGGTTCGATTCCCAGCATCCCATATGGTCCCCTGAGCACTGCCAGGAATAATTCCTAAGTGCATGAGCCAGGAGTAACCCCTATGCATCGCTGGGTGTGCTGCAAAAAGAAAAAATAAAATAAAATAAAAATAAAACGAAGGCAGAGAGAAAACCATGTTTCTGTAACTTGCTTTTTAAGAATCAGATTCTAGTTCTACAAAGGTACTTGAATATTTGGGTAATTCAGTAAGTAAGCTTCCTAGTCTATAAAGAAACTCAATGTTGTACATGCTGTCACCAGTCTGGCCAGAAAAGCAGAAACCAGAGCTTAACCAGGGGGACCTCAAGCTCAAAGAACAAGAATTGGGAGCTTTTTTAAAAAAAAACCTCTGTTCTCTCCAAATGACTAAATGTATTCATAGAACTAAGAGAACCACTTTAGATGTCCACTCTCAGTACTTTAGCCAATTGACAGGTTGGGGGAAAGCAATTGATCCTGCACTTTGAGGTGCTGGGGATTACCTAGGTCATTCTGGTGGAATTCGGGGATCACACCTGGCGGTGCTCAGGGCAATATGTGGGCATCGAGGCATGGCCCTCCCCTAGCCCCCGTCCTATCTCCCCAGCTTCAGTCTTCTGACTCCTGCATCCCCGCCTCACAATCACGTCCTCTCCACGATATACCAGTGTTGGTTTCAAGCACTCGACCCTAGCGTACTCCTGAGTTTGCTTCTTAGCAAGCTACATGGTTCCCTGGCCGCTTCCTTATCCACAGGCCAGTGTGGCTGTGGAGAGATCTACAGGAAGGGGTGGGGGTGGGGTGGAGGCTAGCAAGCTCCCTGGCCATCCCTGTGTGTCCCCTCACACCAGCTGTCAGGGATCACGCTCGACCCCAAACACAGGGCTTCAGGAAGGAAGGACAACCCATTTGTCTTCGGAACCAGATGTCTGAAAACTCCCTTGACAGAAAAGCTGCCATAAAGAATACACTCATTTACCACTCAGGAAATCCAGCCCTTTCATTGAGAGGCGATGACACGCAATTGAACCTGTTCCCAGGATTGCTTGGAATTATTCCGTCAATGCCTGGAGAGCAGAGGGTCCCACCAAAAAGAAAAAAAAAAAGAAAAACCTCAAAAAAACCTGATGACTTAGAGCCTTCCAGACCCCCTGAAAAACAATCAGTCTTGCATTCTTTCTGAGTTTGTCTCCCTTTAATGACAGAGGCCTGTGGGACACGCTTTATTGATCTGATCAAATACCAAGGTCCTTGACAGCAGGAGGTGATGCCGTGGCGAGGCCCAGTTGGCCGCTGGCTTGGGACCTCTGTTGAGAGGATCTTCCTTCAGTTTGGGGGAACTCCGTTGAGAGGGAGTCTGGGGGCTTAGAATTGTAAAGTGAGGCATAGTTTTGAGAATGACTTAAAAATGCTGGGGCAAGGCTGGAGAGATAGGCTGGAGGAAGGCACTGGCCTTACATGTGGCTGAACCCTGATCCATAACTTGGGCACAGAGCCAGGAGTAAGCTCCAAGTACCATGGGTGTGGCCCAATACCGCTCCCCACCCCAACACACAACAAAATAAAATATGGATTAGAGGTGGGTGAGGGTACCATAGTTCGATGGTAGAGTGCAAACATTGCATGTGCTCAGTCCTGGGATTCACCCCCCAGCACCACCAAACAAGACCTGCCCCAAATCATCAAAACTGGGTATTCATTCTGCCCCCCCCCATACATTAGAGAGAGCCCCCCTTTCTGGCTATGTCCTCTCCAAGCCTCAGGTGGGGGTATGTGGGTGATGAAGTGGGTGACATATAGCCCCTTCATGGGAACCACAGTGAATGGATCAGACTTTCCCCGCCCAAACCCACCCATTGCACCCCATCACCCCACTTCTCCATCCCTCCCAGAAGTCCCAAGCAGGTTCTACACCCCCCGACCCCACCCCATCGACAGTGCCAAGGGCCATTCATTCGCCATGGGTCACTTCAGGAAGAGCCTGAAAAAGAAATGAAGATTCACCCCAAACCACCATTTCCTGCTGGCCCCAATCAGATGGACGCTTGGAGATAGGCATGTGGCAGGTGAGATGAGGCAGGAAGGTGGGGTGCCCCTCCCCTAAGGTCTCTCTGATCCTGTGATGTCTGGGAGCCGGGTCCAGACTTCTCCCAACCCTGACACAGGGAAAAATTCTCCAGTGTGCTAACAATTCACCAGCAAATCAGGACACGGACTCAGTGGGGGAAGGTGTATTTCACAGCCATTATAAAAGTACATGGAATTCATCGCGGGGGACAGAAACACAGCCCTCCCCCGGGGACAGAGCATATACAGGGGACCAGCTCTCCCTCCTGGGGAACTCACACAGACACTAGGCTTCGGGCTGCCCCCCCACCCCGAGTCTGAGCCCGCATGAGGGCCATGGAGGGTCTGCACTCATCACACCCAGCCTGGGGGTGGGGGTGGGCGGGGGGGGGGGGCAGAAAGAGCACACACTTTTGCCCTGAGCACAGGGACAGTCGCCTTTTTTCATATAAATATAATAAAAATAACAGCCAATTCAACCTGGTGCCATCCACTTGATTTCACAGGTCTGCCAGCTGCTCTCTCACTCAGAACACAGTTGTCCCCCACTCTCCTGCCCTTCCCACTGGGCTCGCCAGGGACCTCACACCCTGCCCACGTGCCCAGCAGCAACAGCCACGCTCCCCCTACCCACTCTCCCACCCACCAATGGGCTGAAGGTGGGAAACGTCTGCCCAGGAGGTGACCGTGATTCCCAAACGCTCAGGGGCTGGAGGGGTGTCAAAGCCAAGGGAGAGAAGGTGAGGGACCGGAGAAGTCCCCAAGGCACAGGGAGACAGAAGGACAGAAGACACGACAGCTGCAAGCTACCTGCGGACAACACCTCCTTCCCTAACCGCCCAGTGCCCGACCCTTTTTCGTACAACCACAAGCCTTCTACTCCAGGTCTTTTTTTTCTCTTCTTAAAAGTCTCTATTTGCCACAGAAAGTCCTGGAAGCCAGTCCGGAGCTTTCGGAGGGAAGACCACCAATATCCAGAAGCCCAAGTCCCCTCCTCTCCAGCGCTAGAGCTGGGGGGAGGGCGGAGCCCCTGGGCGGGGCGGCAGCCAAGATTGGACCTCCCAGAATGTTCCTGGGCTTTTGTCCAGTTGCTCAGTCGCTGCCAGGTGGGGCAGGAGGTCACCGCGGCTGATGAGGAGAGATGAAGAGCCACCGGACAAGGGGCTTTGGCGGGTCCTCCAGGTTCACAGCGAGGCCAGGGTCCCCTCGACATAGTCTGAGCTAAGTGCTCGCTGGCCAAGGCTGATTCCTCTTCCAGGCCTGCTCACGACCTGCTCCGCTTAGCTCGCCAGGGACGGAACCCACCCCCGCAGACAACCCCTGGCACAGGCCTCATGGGGTCACGGGGGAACGACACAGGGGCGCACGGACCGCACGCATACGGCCGGCACAGACAGAACTGGACACGCATCTTTGGTTGGACGCTTGGCCCAGGGTGTGGTGAGAGGGGAGTGGCCCGTGCCCCTCCCAGCTGGCCACATCCAGCACGCGGGCTGCAGGATGAGCTGTCAACGCAGCTCTGCTCTCCCTGCTCGAATATCCGACCACAAGGACGGACGTGCTTGACCTTCTTGGGGCATCTGGGCTGGGGCGGGGGGCGTGCTGGGACCACCGGGCAAGCTCTGAGCGCACCCGCGCTCTGAGTTGGAGGGATTCGTTTTCCCTCTCTGGTGGGTTTTAATCGCGGCTGTAGTGGGGCGCCAAGAAGCAACCCAGGACCTCTGCGCGTGCAGGCACACACACGCCTGAGGCAAGGGTTCCACCACTGAGCCACTTGTCCCCTTTCCCTCCATCCTGGTTTCTTAAGAACGAAGTGACTTGGGTTGACAGACATCACATCAGGAAAAAAGCATCTTTGGAGAAGAGAATTCAGTGGTGAGGAAGCTTCAAACTTGCCCACCTGCCACCGCCAGGGCAGAAAACATCCGTCTAAGCTCGGTTTGGGAAAGGCCTGTGCCCCCCATCCCCCACCCTCACTATCTTTTCCTTCCATGGGATTCAGGATACCCCCTCTGATGGTGCCTCCTGAGCCGGTGCTGGGAAGACAGGCTGAGCCAGCCTCCTCCGAGGTTGGTGGTGGTGGTGGTGGGGACGGGGGGCAGATCTGTTGCTCCTCCCAGGATGTACCAGTTCCCAAAGGAAGGAAAGTAGGGTGTGTGTGTGTGGGGGGGGGGGGAGCTAGGTGAGTCCCTCTGTGATGCTATGAGCCATGGCCCCACCCCGTGGCCAGCTGCTAAGAGGCACCAGTGTGACACACAGCACACAGGGAAAAGAAGACCTAACAGTCTGCGGTGCCGGCAGCCCACAGGGGCACCCCATGTTGCACCCCCGTCTCCAGCCTGGCTGAGCCCGGTGAACAGAGGGGGCGCTGAGGGGGGGTGGGTGTCGAGGCAGCGGAAGGTGGGACTAGATAGATGCACATTCCCGTCTCTGGGGGATCCCAAAGCCTGACAGATTCTGGGGTGCATTTCAGGGGCAGAGTAGATTGAGGTTCAGAAATTGGAGCGCCTAGATTCTCCATGCCCTGACCACCCTGGGCTAGGAGGGATGTGTGTGTGTGTGTGTGTGTGTAGGTGGGGGGGTACCGTTCTGGCACTTCTCAGAAACATCCGGAACGCCTGGGGTGAGGGGTGGAGATCAGCCTGGGTTAACACTGGCCTCGAACTCCGTCGGCCAGGCCGAAGGACAGGTTCGGGGTGCCCACGGGCTGCAGTGGGGGCAGGCTGGCCTCCAGGGGCCGGTCCAGGGCTGGCTGCAGGCTCTGATGGCGCTTCCGCAGCATCTGCCCGATGCCCATCATGGGGAACCTGCCCCGGCTCTTCACGCAGTTAGGGCTCCCCAGCCCCAGTGCGGGGGTGCCCCCGGGCCCCGCTGGTGCGGGGACACACGCGGCCTCCTCCTTGGGGGTGCCGAGCTTCTCTTCGTGGGTAAAAGAGAGGAGGGTGGGGTGCAGTGGAGGCTGCAGGGGTGAGAGGCTTCCCGGGGACAGTGTTCGCTCGCTGGGGGGGCCCCGGGCCCAGGCCCCTGGTGAGCTCAGCGCACGGTAGTGATGCCCTGATGCGGGCGGTGAGGCGGGTTCCGGCGGCTCTGCGCGCTCCACTGACTCGAAGGAGCGTACCAGCAGCAGGGGGTCCTCCTTGGGGCTGCTGGGCCCCCCCTGCAGAGGAGACTCGGGCTTCTTGACGGCCCGGGGGGTCCGCGGGGGCGGGACGGCGATGAATTCCATGGAAGAGGAAGCCACGCAGTTGGAGTCTGAGGTTTTGCGGAAGATACTGCGGCAGCCGAAGGGATCTGCAAGGCCGAGAAGCAAACGGGGTCAGGGTGATGGGGAGTGAGAAATGGTTCCCCCCTCCCCACCCAGCCCCACCCTGTCCCGACCACTGGCTGGATAGGGTCTGGGAGTTACTGGGGAGAGGCAGTGGGCTGGGGTCCTTCCAATTTGTAGCTGGCGTCAAAGCCAAGCAAGGGAGCCCCTCCCTGCCATGACACCCCCTGCCTTCTCTGAACCCTTGGAATTCTTCATCGGAAGGTGAGAATCAGGGGTCACTTAAGCGTAGAGCTATGTGACTGCTGCCCAATGCTTTCTGCTTCTCCAGCGGACAGCTGGCTGGTGGTGGACAACTATCTCTTCCTACTGGAGCAAAGGGCCGAGGTCAGGACCCCAAGATCCATCCAGAGAATGTGGACGGGTGAGTGCCAAGGGGTAGCCTATTGGGAGATCCTCACCGGCCTCCATCCACCCGACCCCCCTTTTGTGTTCCCTAAAATCCACTGGTGGAGGGACGGGGTGTTGGAACACTGCATGACTGAATCATGAGCAGCTTTGTAATGGGCTATCTCACAGTGTTCAATTTTAAAAAGTTTAAATAAAATAAAATGAAATTTTTAAAAAATGGCATGTCCCCTCCCAATGTGAAGAGGCCTTCTTGTGCATAGTCCGAAACACGCTCTGTGTGTGCACACATGTGCATATATGTACATGTGCATGAGTGTTTGTACATGTGTGTACCAGTGTGCACTGTATGCATGTATGTACATGTTTATGTCTGCATGCAAATGTGTGTCCCCCTGTGGGTATGTATAATGTGGGTGTATGTGTCTCTGTGTGCACACAAGCGCATATGTGTGTGCGTGTTTGTGTGCCCTTTCTGCATCAAACCATGAGGATCTCTCCCATCAGTGGGCTACTGACCATGGTGGGCGCCCCCCACAGCTGGGCCTCACTCAGTCCACCCAGCTTCCTTTCACAAGAGAGGCCTCAGCCTACTCTGAGCCCCCCAGGGCAGGGTGCTCTTTCGTACCCAGCACCCCCCTGCCCGGATACATCCGACCCCTTCCATTGCCTCAGCGTCCACTGTTCTGGGAAGGTTCCTGCCACCACCCCTGCACCCCCAATCTCTGTCCTGGTGATCTGGAACATTCGTTCCTGGTTCTAAGACTCCAGGTATCTCCATCTCTGCTCCTGCACCCCCTAATTATTCTTGTCCTCAATCCCTACTCCTACAATGCCTTACCCCAGCCTTTGTTCTCACAAAGCCATGCACCCCCTACAATACCATGTACCCAGATTTTCATGCCTGCCTCCAATCTCTATCCCTGCACTCCCTTCCAGTTCTGCAATACTTGCGCTCCAATAAGCTGCCACAATCCCAAGGCACCCAGCCCCTGCGCCCGTCATACTGGGTACTCTAATTTCTGCTGCTGTAGAACCCTGCTCTTGCTCCCACAGCCTCATAGACCCCCGAATCTACTCCCTCAGGAATATCCATGCCGGTGTTGACCCTGCCTCAGGTCTCTGTTCCTGCACCCCAGGCTGACTCCTGTGGCACCTTGTACCCCAATAAGGTGCTATTTCAGAGCACCAGGTGCCCCATGTCTACGTTGGCAAATCCTGCCTGCCCAGGGGGGCCTGATTTCCTGAGGTTCCTTAGATGGGCTGCTTCATCTTTCTGGGTGGTACCTGGCGCCACCCATTTGGGGAGCCCCAAGCTCAGAGGCCCTCCACGGACCCACCTTTGTCGGGGAAGCCGGCTTTAGGTCCCTTCCGCTCCTTGAGCAGGGCCTTGGTGTTCTGGATCTGGGAGATGAGCGAGGCCGCGGGCTGCTTGTGCCCCGACAGGCTCTTATCTAGCTTCTTGGAAAACGGCCGGTGAAGAAAATCTCCTCTTTTCTCTTGTTCTTTGGGCTTTTTATCCTGTAGGACAGATGCAAACCTTAGCCCCACAGAGGCACAGAGCATTGGAATTCCCCATCCAAGGGCAGAGCAGAGCAGAGCTTGGCTCTGCTCTCAGTGGCGCCCCTAATGGAGGCACAAGGGATTCCAGCCAACCGGGGGGGGGGGGGGGGGGCGGGGGGGGCGGGGACAGCCAATTATCCTAGCAAAAGCTGAAACTAGGGAGGTAGAGCAGAGGAACCTCGGTCTGGTTTAAAGGAGGGCTCTGTGCGTGCTTTGCACAGAGGTGGCACCAGGCCTGATCTGTAGAGGTTCAAGGAAACTTGAACCATCACTAACTCGTCCTCTTGTGCTCAGCAGTTCAAGGTCCCAAAGGGCGAAGTGGACTCAGGTCAGTACTTCTTAGGTACTGAAAAGTAGCCACTTCTGCTGCCCGCCTGGCCTCAGTTCAACTCAGTTCTCCCTCTGAGGGGGGCGAACCTGACTGTCACCCCATAGCTGTTGGCATAAGGGCCAGGCACTGGGAGCAATTTGAATCATTATTGAAAGTGGGAGAAGTCGGTAGGCCACGAAGTGGATGGAAATGAAATGCAGGGAAGCTGGCCTCTGGGAAGGGCCGTGCCGCTGAGCAGACTGTCTCTGGGGCATCAGCCTGCAAGTCACGGTTCACGTTTACTGCTGGCCAGTCAGGGGCAGCCCTGTCCCTGGCCTCACCAGGAAGGCGGGGGTGGGGAATTCTGAGAAAGATGCAGTTCCACATTTTGAGTTCAACTTGAAAAGCATTTGTAATTCAAACGCAGCTCATGGACTTTAAATGAGGTTTCTGTAGAGCTTTCCAGGAAACCTCTCTCTCTCTGTCTCTCTCCCTCCCTCTCTTTCTGTCTCTTTCCTTCTGTCCCTGTCTCCCTCTGTCTCTCTCTCTTTTTCTCTCTCTCTTCCCCCTCTCTCTCTGTCTCTCCCTCTGTCTCTCTTTCCCTCTCAGTCTCTCTCTCTTTTCTTTTTCTCTCTCTCCCTATCCCTGTCTGTCTCTCTTTCCCTCTCTGTCTCTCTCCTCTCTTTTTCTGTCTATCTCTCTTTCCCTCTCTCTCTGTCTCTCTCTCCCTCCCTCCCTCTATCCTCTTTTTCTCTCTGTCTGTCTGTCTCTATCTCTGTGTCTGTCTCTCTCTGTCTCTGTCTCTCTCTCCCTCCCTCCCTCTATCCTCTTTTTCTCTCTGTCTGTCTCTATCTCTTTGTCTCTGTCTCTGTCTCTGCCTCTCTGTCTCTCTCTCTCTCTCGGGTTTTCTGAAGAGGGTCTCTCTCGGGTTTTCTGAAGAGGGTTCCCAAAGTCCTTGAAAACTCAGCTTCATCATTCTACTGGCTTTACTAGTTGGGAAGAATGTAAGGGTAGTGGTGGGGAGTTGGGGCTGCCCAGCTGAGGCCTGGGGACCACCCTCATGGCAGTGACTCTTGCAAGGCCTAAGCCTTAGCTGCAGTGGCTTGGCCTCAAGGAAGGTGCAAAGCAGGGGGGAAAAGAACAGGTGAAGGAACCAGAATGACAGCCCAGTGGCTAGTGCGCTTGCCTAGCACATAACTGACTGTTTCCATCCCCAGTTTCCCAAACCCGCAGGGAGGGATCCCTGACACCGAGCTAGGAGTAAGCCCTGAGCATCACTGAGTGTGGCACAACCCTTCACTCCTCCCAAAAGAAGAAGAGGTGAAGTTTCCACCAACTAATTTATTCTGGTGGTGCAGTGGGGCCACACCCGGCAGTGCTCAGGGCTCACTCCTGGCTCTGTGTTCAGGGATCACTCCTGGTAGTGCTCAGGACTATACATGGTGCTGGGAATTTTTTTTTTTTTGGTTTTTGGGTCACACCTAGTAATGCTCAAGGGTTACTCCTGGCTCTGTGCTCAGGGGACCATATGGGATGCCAGGAATCGAACCCGAGTTGGCCACACGCAAGGCAAATGCCCTACCTGCAAACACCCCGGTGCTGGGAATTAAACTGAGGGTCAGATGCCTGCAGGTGGGTACCACTCTGGGGGCTGGCGGTTGAAGATCCCTGCTCCCCAGCATGAGTGGGCCCTGCCCCATTAGCTGGAGGCCTCAGGAGAGAAAAAGTAGGAGGAATAGGGGAAACTGAGGGCCTGAGTGCACTAGCAGCTCTCCCCAGCGTCTCTCTCTGAGCATCTCATGAAGGCACACACATGCACTGGGGTGTGTTTCTCTGGACGAGGCTGGCGAGCCCGGCCACCCACAGGCCTTACCTGCACAGTGTGGAATTCCAGTTCTCGGGTCCAGGTGTCCAGGGAGGCCTGTGAAAAGCAGCATGCCAGCCAGGTGAGGAGCTGCGCCCGCCGGCTGTTCTCTCTGCACGCTTCCCAGCCGGGGCCTCTGCAGCTCGGGCTGAGACTCACTCAGCTCAGAGCCTGGAGGCCAGACAGCAAACCTCTCCATGACCCAGAAACCAGCGGTCCCAGCTGCATCCAGATCCCAAAAGGATGTCTGGGTCATTTTGTATTTAAGTCTTATACCCCTCCAGACCAATGAGTGATCTAGTAAAGAGCAGGTGAAAGCTGATTTTTCTTTCTTTTTTTTTCTTCTTGTTTTGGGGGCCACACCTGGCGGAGCTCAGGGATTACTCCTGGCGAGGGCTTGGCGGACCATATGGGATGCCTGGGATTGAACCCAGGTTGGCTGCATTGCAGCAAGGCAAACGCCCTACCTGCTGTACTATCACTCCAACCAAGCTGCTTTTTCCTCCTTTAATAGCCAAGTCTCCTACCCAGTAGCCTCTGGATACACCCCTGCCCATTCCCTGTCTACCACTGACGGCTAACGCATGGAGTACTGAAATTTAGTCCTTTTTATTGTGGTTAGCACCAATGCTTTCTTCCTGTCTTGAAATGCAACTGGCAGTTGCTTTATTCTCTCTCTCTCTCTCTCTCCCCCCCCCATCCCGCCCCGTGCGCCCCCCATTTCTCCAGCCTGCTACAAACTCTCTTTACTTTTATTGCAGATCTGACAGTGGTTTCCAGCCTTGGCCATGCCACAGAATCAACCAAGAAGATACATCCAGTCTGCGCCCCTCAGCCTCTCCCCACCTCCCTCCCCCCACCTGAAAAGGTGGAGAGGGTATGAGGCGTCCAGATGTTGAAACATTCCCAGGGTGATTCTAAGGAGAACCCTGGTTTGAAACCATAAATCATTCCTTTCTCAAGGGCTCAGTTCAGCAGAATGCCCTTGTCTGCCGGTACTTGCGTGTTTCGCGGTAATTGGTTTCCTTTTCCCTCTGCTCTCCAGTCCCAAATCTGCAAATCCTCCACTGGGTAAGCTGCTTGTCTTGCCTGAGGCTGACCGAGCCTCACCAGGAGGGATCCCTGAGCGCAGAGCCAGGGGTAAGCCCTGAGCACTGCTGAATATGGCACAGAAGCAAACAAAAAACTGCAAATCCACTCTCCCTGGGAACACTCGCTAGGGCTCAGCTCTGGAGTCACTTACCTCATAGGGCTCTGGCGTGGGCTTGCACTTTTCTATCTGGTAGAGCTGGGTCTTATAGCAGACACCATCCTGAAGGTCCGATTTCTATCCAAAGGGGGTGGGGGGGGGAGAGAAAAAAACCTGGTTTAACTCACAGGAACTAGAAATGTCCACCCATTCATTTTCAAACCACAGGACCTGAGGAAGAACCCCGAGCAGTTTTGCCATACAAGCGCTTTGTCTCTCATAGGGATAGACAGTACAGCAGGTAAGGCACTCACCAGGCTTGCACCAACTCACATTAGATCCCCGGCACCTCAGATGGTCCCCCAGACTCAGCCAGAAGTGACCCCCGAGCACAAAGCCAGGGGGAAGCCCTGAACGTAGCTGGGTGTGCCACCAAAACCAAAAAGAAAAGGAAAATAACACCCAAAGTCTCTGCTGAGGACAGCATGGGGTTCCCTGTACCCTTCTCTCCTGCTCTGCCCTGAGTCAGGGGATCCGCTTCTGCCCAGCCTCTGCTTGGGAAGGGCTGGGAGAACCTGGACAGGTCAGTGCCCCTGGCTGGGCCTTGGCTCTTTCATCTGTGCCAAGAAAAACTCTCCGAGAGCAAAAGCATCAATCAAACACGGGAGTGGGGAAGAGTTGATTTCATCGGATCATGGACTATGAAGCTTACATGTTTGTGGGCTTATCTAAAGATGATACAAGTTCCGGACCCCCCTATAAAAGTCACAGGGGTCCCTATTATAGCTTAAAGAAGACAGAGAGGCCCCCACCCAAGATAATCCAACATAACCCTCCCCGGAGACATGAAATGAAATGACACATTCATCAATCAGCAAATGCCCTAAACAGATTCTCTGATGAACCCCCTGTACTTCTTGGTTTTAGAGAAAGGAAAGAGGAATTGAAGAGAAGGGCGAAATAACAACTGAGGGAGCGTATGCTTTGCTGTTTGGTGCGTTCTTGTTTTGAAATTCGACGTGGGTCATTTGACATTGGTTCCAGTGATTAATGACTGGGACCGGGCATAAGGGACAATGCAATTAGCTGTCTGTGGACATTCCTAAGCTCACCAGCTGTCTCTGGGGAATCCGTTCATGCTAGTCAAGAGCGGTCATTCATCTGGATGCTGCTTTTCAGAGTAGGTATGTCCTATGAATGAAGGGTAAAGTGCAAACCAAATGCACTCAAACAAGAACCTTCTCCAGCTAGTGTGAGCCAAGTTTCCCGGGAAACTGAGTTGGTCTGGAGACAAAGTCACGCTCATGTTTGCAAGTTTGAGATATCTCCCACCTGACTGATGTGAGCCAAAGTGGGGGATCACAGCACAGCAGGCAAAGCACCCAGAAACATCAAGACAGGGCCTGCGAGCCCCCAGGAAATGCCCCATGAGCACTCCAGGACTGTTTGGGAAGGACCCAAGTTGGCATTTGTGGCTAATGGAGTTACCCAGAAGATACTATTTTAAAAACCAGTTTTCCTCCATCTTATTGACCCCTGAACCAAACCTCCAGATCCGCCTAAAGAATCTTGGCGTCTCCTCAGCAAAGGAGCAACAGATCATTCCTGAAATATGTGAGGTCATGAACTTCAGAGGCAATTTCACGAGAACGTTTTGACAAAACTCATGGCATGGAGATGTGGCTCAATGGTTCCTGTTTTGCAAGTGTGAAGTTGAGAGTTTGATCGTCAGCACAGACACCCACCTGGCCATGGGCCAAGCCAGCTGCCTGGCGTCTTTATCAAGATCCTCTTGTGACTGTGTGAGCCCAGGATGCCACAGCACCAACAGCAACCACCAAGGGAAGGGGCAGACAATAATTTCCTAAAATCTCTTTTCTGAACATATCAAATGTCACTTGAAAAAGGAAATCCCGGGCTGTTCCCCTAGCCTCCCTTCTCCTGGAGAAACAATTTCAATTCCGAACGCATCACCCTCTCACTTGATGGTCTCTGATGGTGATGGCGGCGTGTAAACATTGTCAACTCTTTATAAACAGGCCTACAACTGAGGCCTGTTTATAAACTGGAAGCATGCACCATGCTACTCATTCTAAAATACACCTTAAAGTAGTGATTACAAGGATAAGGTAAGAAAGAAATGGCACATAGCATCTTCATGGGAAAAAAAATGAGAAAAACTCAGCAGCCATAGCTCTTTCTAATAAGTTCATCATTGCAAACAAGGAGAACCAGAAATTTCCTGAATTTCTCCTTATCACCTAATCCCATGCCATAAAAAATATACTGTGGACTGGAGCAATAGTACAGCGGGGAGGGCATTTGTCTTGCACACGTCCAACCTGGGTTCGATTCCCAGCATCCCATAGGGTCCCCTGAGCACTGCCAGGAGTAATTTCTGTATACAAAGCCAGAAGTAACTCCTGTGCATTGCCGGGTGTGACCCACAAATATTTTTTATTTTTATTTATTTACTTATAAATAAATAAATGAAATAAAAATATATATACTGGGCTGGAGTGATAGCACAGCGGTAGGGCATTTGCCTTGCATGCAGCCAACATGGCCTACTCGAGTTCGATTCCTCCACCCCTCTCGGAGAGCCCGGCAAGCTACCGAGAGTATCTCGCCCGCACGGCAGAGCCTGGCAAGCTACCCATGATGTATTCGATATGCCAAACACAGTAACAACAAAGTCTCCAATGGAGACGTTACTGGGTCCGCTCGAGCAAATTAATGAACAATGGGAGGACAGTGACAGTGAAAAAATATACTGTGTCTAAGGCCCTGTCCCTCTCAAGTGGTCACTTGCCTGTGACTGTGGGCTAAAATCTAGCCCCAAAGCTGCCTCTGTCCCCAAATCTAGTCCCAAAGCTGCTTACATGGGCCACCATCTACCTAGAAGTTTTGTATTTTCGAAAGACTTTCACTGTAGAAAACCTCCCTCCTCTACTCCTTTCCCAGCTGTCTCTTGCCAAACCAGCTTAGAAGCATCTGCTTTTCATCCACCTCTTTTTTTTTTTCTTTTTTTGGGTTACACCTGGTGCTCAGGGGACCATATGGGATGCTGGGAATCAAACCCAGGTTGGCCGTGTGCAAGGCAAATGCCCTACCCACTGTGCTATCGCTCCAGACCCTTTGTCCACCTCTTGAACAAGCCATCAGTTCTGTCTACTCAGTAATGCGTTCTAGCTGTGTCTCTGGTACCCGTGCCACAGAGCCGCACTCTAACCATTTCATCGTCCGAGCATTATTCTGGCTTGCTGTCAGGGCTAGCAAAGACACGCAATGGAAGGGGCTCTTTCCGTCTTTAGTGCTAACGTAGACATCGCACCGAAGGTTACTAAGCCTATTGTTTAGCCAACTTCCGTGATATATTGGGCTATAAGGACTTCAAATAGCACTTTTTAAAAAGAAAAGAAACCAACAGTTTGTCTTTTCCAAGTTTTCTAAATGTCTTCCTCAGAGCAATGAACACAAATCCGAGGATGCCATATAGACAGGCTGAAAGCACACGCAAATCTCTAGGTTCCACACAGAGGAGATGAAAGTATGTTCAAGTCTCAAGGTGCCGTATATACTGAATGAAAGAGCACTCAATCCCAACGTGCCACATAAAAAGGATGAAAGCATATTCAAATCTCAAGTGCCCACATATACCAGACAGATGAAAGTCCACTCAAATCTCAAGGCTCCATACATAAAGGATGAAAGTGCGCTCACACCTCAAGGTGCCATGTATACTGTATGAAAGAACACTCAGATCCCAAGGTGTCATCTACAGGACGAACGTGCATTTGAATCTCAAGATGCCATACACACACCATGAAACTCCTCCCTCAAGGAAGTAGGTTTAAAATCAAACTTCAGATAGGATATCTGAAAATTCTGAAATTTCCCCAGCAGGTTTCCTGGTTTCTCAGGTCAGCCCTGAGCACCTGGGGTCAGAGAAAAAGCATCGGAATTATGAATCTATACTGCCTTTCTGCCAGTTCAACTTGCAGAGACTGTCTGCAGTGAGATGGTTTCATCCAAACTAGACCCCCTCACCCACGCACACAGGGAAAGGCAGACAATCCATCATTATCCCTATTTTACAGATGAACAAACTGAGGCCCATCCCATGGAGGTCATTTGCCCAGAGTCCCATAGGCAGGAAATAGCAGGCCCAGAATTCAGAGTCTCAGAGTTTGGGTGCTAGACAGTCTAGAGGAGACCCGAGTCCAGCCCAATGAGGGGGCACCCCCTCTGTGATGCAGACCCCCGGGACCTTCTAAATGCCTGGGCTGGGTGGTGACGAGGACAGATCACCACGCTAGGGGGAATTCTTTCCTAGAGCGATACACATATTCCATGGCCTTCTCATTCACCAGGCTTTGGAGATGAATGCCGGAGAGGCATTGCTCCCCAACTTTCATGAGCCCAGGAGGTCCCCGGGCATCCAGGAACCCGCAGAGTCGAGAGACAGCAGATTTAAAAAAAAAAAAGACAAAGTTGTGAGGAAAGAAGATGAACTCTCTAAACAGTCCTGCCCAGGGCTCCACTCTGCAGGGGGTAATATTTGAAAGCCTCTTCAAATAAAAAGCGCTCCCCAAGAAGCACTTTTTTTCTTCCATCCCTTGCTGGAGATAAACTCGGCCGCTGTGGGATTTGTTTCAGTGAACTGCTCCCATCAATAGGCAGCAGCTGGACAGTCCCCCGCAGTGAGCAGAGTGGAGTAGAGGCACCACCCAACCCCAACCTCAATCCCCCCTGCCCCATCTCTTACCCCGGACAGGTAGCGCTCGAGTTTCTTGTTCAGGAGGAAGTAGATGGCGAGGATGTGGCAGGCACGATTGGAAAGCACGGTGTTGATGACGTCGCTGTTCTTGTAGCCCAGCTTCTCGGTCATGTGCAGGATCACGCTGGGGCTCAGGTCTTCCAGGGAAATCCTGCAGGACAGAGTGACACGTGGTCACTGCTCCATCTCCTCAGGGGTGGGGGTCGGGGAGACTTGGGGTCCAGGCTCACATGCCAGATAGCCCTTGGGTAGCTGCTCCATCTGTGGGACTTCCCCTGCCTCGATTCCACTTTTTACACTTGTTTTTGACTGTGTGGTTTTTTTTTTTTTGGCCACACTTGGCAGTGCTCAGGTATTACTCCTTCCTGTCTTAGCACTCAGGGATCCCTCCTGGAGGTGCAGGGGGAGGGGGGATGGGGGGACCCTAGGTGACCCCAGAGATCATGCAGGGGTTAGCTATGTGCCAGGCAAGTGTCGTACACTTTGCACTTTCTCTCCAGTCCCTCACTTGACTTTTAACTGTGGAAAGCTGCATCCCTAAAGGAAAAGATCCCGCATAGACCCAAGATCTGGATGCTGCTCATTGAGAAAATTGGGCCTGCTGATGACCCTTGCACTTTTATTTATTTATTTTTTTCATTATATAACTATAGCACTGTAGCACTGCCTTCCCGTTGTTCATTGATTTGCTCCAGCGGGCACCAGTAACGTCTCCATTGTGAGACTTGCTGTTACTGTTTTGGGCATATCAAACACACCACGGGGAGCTTGCCAGGCTCTTCCATGCAGGCGGGATACTTTCAGTAGCTTGCCGGGCTCTCAGGGAAGGATGGAGGAATCAAACCCGGGTCAGCCGCGTGCAAGGTAAACACCCTATCTGTTGTGCTACCTCTCCAGCCCCCATTAAATAACAATGCATCATAACGTTAGGGAAGCTTCAACTGTGTGTGTTAAATCAGTATCTGTTTATACTAAGTTCATAGCAAAAGTCCAACTCTCACAAGGATAGTACAGCAGATAAAGTGCTTGCATGTGGTCAAATCCTGATTTGATCCCTGGTACCACATATGGTTCGGTCTGAACATTACAAACAAGGAAGGGTCCCCAACTCCCACAGTCCAACTCCCCTTCATTATTCAACTGACCCCGTCAGCTGATCCGCCACTTATCCCCCTTCCCTCTTCCCTCCTACAACCACTAACTTGGTCTCATAGATTAAAAGTCCAATTTTGTTTTGTTTTGCTCATTTGTTTATTGGGTTGGAGCGATAGCACATCGGGCAGGGCATTTGCCTTGCACGCAGCTGACCTGGCCGACCCAGGTTCGATTCCCCCACCCCTCTCAGAGAGCCCGGCAAGCTACCGAGAGCATCTCGCCCGCATGGCAAAGCCTGGCAAGCTATCTGTGACGTATTCAATACGCCAAACACAGTAACAATGTGTCACAATGGAGATGTTACTGAGCCCACTCGAGCAAATGGATGAACAACGGGAGAACAGTGACAGTGATTTGTTTATTGGGTGTCTCTATAAACCACAATGAGTGAAATCATATGTTCACACACAACATATAGATAGATAGATAGATAGATATAGACTAATGTAGTTTAAATTTCACACTTCTTGTTTTTTTTTTTTTGTCTCATTTCTAAACTCCGCAGTGTGTAGATTTAAAAACCAAAATTCTCCTCTTGGGCTAAGAGAACAGCAGGTAGGGCGCTTGCCTTCTTGTGTTCGATCCCTGGCATCTTATATGGTTCCCCCAAGCCCCGCCAGGGGTAAATCCTGAGTGTAGAGCCCAAAATAGCCCCTGAATATCGCTCCAAACACAACAAAACACCAAAAAACGAGGGTCAGTGAGATAGCAACACAGGTAAGGTACTTGCGTTGCACACAGCCAACCAGGGTTCGATTCCCAGCTTCCCATGTGGTCAACTGAGCACCACCAGGAGTAATTCCTGAGTGCAGAGCCAGGAGTAAGCCCTGAGCACTGTCAGGTTTAGCCTCAAAACCAAAAAAAAAAAAAAGAAAGAGAGAGAGAGAGAGAGAGAGAAAGAGAGAAAGGGGGAAAAAGCATGCAGCCGACCTAGGGTTGATTCCCAGCATCCTATATGGTCCCCTGAGCACCGCCAGGAGTAATTCCTGACTGCAGAGCCATGAGAAATCCCTGTGCATCACTGGGTGTGACCCAAAAAAGAAAAAAAAAATGACCTTTATTTTTTTTCTCTTTCCCCAAAGCAAAACCCTGACAACTTCTTAAGGATAAAAATTGGAGCCAGGCAGGTTGAGATCTGCCAGATACTCCGTTATGCTTTGTTTTGCCTTGTTGCCACCCTTGGCTGTGATCAGGGGGTCACTCTTGGCGGTGCCCTGGGGACAAAGTGGGGCTGAGGATCGAACCTCAGGCTTCCTGCATGGCAAGCCTGCACAGAGCCTACCGTCCCCCATTCCCAATCCCTCGGGCCCCCATAAAATACACTTATGAAGAAAAACCTTCCTTTCTCTGCCCACACAACCTTTATTCCTTTCATCTAGGTGCTAGCAGCACCAGAACAGTAATTATCCAGAGCACTCATGGGGGGAAGGGGTGCGGGGGGGTGTGTAGACGTTTTCCAAGATCAAGACTGGACAAGGCCAGTGGAAGCAGGTGGTGCTGAGCTACATTCCCATCCTAGTCCAAGATCTCAGCCACTGTCCCATCCACCCGGCCTTCACGGAGATGGATAGTAGGGCAGGTAGGGAGCTTTGCTTGCATGCGGCCGACCCAGGTTCGATTCCCGGCATCCCATACGATTCCCCCGAATTTTGCCAGGATCAGGTGTGATCCCTGAATGCAGAGTCAGGAATGACCCCTGAGCACTGCCAGGTTTGGTTCTCCCTCCCTCAAAACAAAAAGATAAAGGTAAAGCTAAAGACCCTCCCATTGTTCGTCGATTTGCTCGAGCGGGCCCAGTAACGTCTCCATTGGAGACTTTGTTGTTACTGTGTTTGGCATATCAAATACGTCATGGGGAGTTTGTCAGGCTCTGCCGTGCGGGCAAGATACCAAGAACAAACAAACAAAAAGAAAAAGCAGATTTTAGGCTACTGATGGGGGCTGGAGCGATAGCACAGCAGTAGGGCGTTTGCTTTGCACGCAGCCAACATGGCTGACCCAAGTTCGATTCCTCCGCCCCTCTCTGAGAGCCCGGCAAGCTACCGAGAGTATCTCACCTGCATGGCAAAGCCTGGCAAGCTACCCGTGATGTATTCGATATGCCAAACACAGTAACAAGTCTCACAATGTTACTGGGCCCGCTGGAGCAAATCGATGAACAACTGGAGGACAGTGATTCTGGCTTCTGGCTAAGTGCAAATCAGCGTAGGCGCCTTGACCTTTGTGCACCCTTTGGAAACCACAGCCTGGGGACTCCGCGGACTCCTGGTGACTGAAGAGGCACCGTCTTCAGAAGGGGGAAACCGTCTCTAAACCCCAGCCTCCACGTCCGTCAACAGCTGCCACATCGAGTGGATGGATAAGGCTCATTTCCACTGTAATTATGAGCTTCATGGTGACAGGAGCTGTCGCGTCATCCCCCCACTCCACTCCCACCCCTGCAACCCCACCTTTCGCCGACGGCAGCTCCAACCGTGTCCCCTCAGGAAATCCCAACTCAGGTGAGGAGGCCTGGCCCCTGGGCTTTGCTCTCCACCTCATATTGGGGTTCAGATACCAGCCCAAATGGAGCGATCGACAAACTGGTCTATTTCCAGCTCCCCTGTAGCTTCGGAAGCTTCGTAGCCCCCTTCGTGCCAAGCAACCTCGTGAGTCAAATGCTAGAATAGTACCTGGCAACAGAGGAGACCCCTCACTCCTGTTAATGCTGTTACTGCCCCAGCAGCATGGCTATAGACCCCAGAGACAACCACCCAGAAATGTCTTCTAGAACTTTCTTTCCAAGACAGAGTCCTGCCCGCCCGCTGCACCTGAGGACGCAGGGGCACTGCTTTCACTGGTCAGGTGTGGCTGATGTTTCTGGACTTTTAAGGCATTTTGAAGGACTCATCATGGAAGCCCCCCACCCCCACCCCCTTTCTCTGTTCCGACCCGTTGGTTTCCCCTTCATCACTGCTGCTCTTTGCCTCCCCAGGGCTCGGTCAAATGTGAAGGAAGCAGGCCTCAGACTGGGTCCCTGACCCGTGTGGTCGCCACAATTGTTCTAGAGGGGCCGGCCTCTTCCCTCCACACCTCTGACTGGGATGTTCCAATGGGTAAGAAAAATGAAAGGCTGCTTGGTCCTGTTGTCTACAGATACAACCCAGCCTGGAGACGGGGCCACGGGAGATGCTGGCTTCCCGAACGTTTCCTCCTCAGAAAAAGGCTGGAGTGACGCCTTCACGGGACGCATAAGGAGAGCACAGCCTGAAGCGATAGATGAATTACTTTTCTCCTTGTCATCTTGACATCAGAAGGAAGGGGACTTAGGGCTGAGGTAAACCTCATAATCAAGTGTCAGGAGAGGAGCCCCACATGGTTTGAAAGGGGAGAAGGATAATTCTACCCAATAATGCCCAATAATGACAAGAAAACACAAGCATGGATCAGCCCCCACCCCCCCCAAAAATACACCTACATATATATATATATGTAGGCACCCATATACACAAATATACATATGGACATACATGGCACATATACTCATACATATAAATTCATATGTTCACATACATACACACATATAGACACACACCACATACAGAGGAGACATACAGAAAACACTCATATACAGGGTATACATATGGTATACCCATATATGTATACAAATACAGAGGTGAATATAAATTCATACACACACAGACAAAAGACAAACATCCATACACATAGATGTATAAATTCATAAATACACACACAGATTCAGACACACACACATACACATCTTCACCCAGACACGCAAAGACATACCCACAGTAGACAACACACAATACACATATAGTCATAAGCATAGATGAATGTATATATACATACATACAAATGTTCACACACATAAATCCACTAGCTGAGTCTCCCCTTCCCCTGAGCCTAAATAGGACTATTGTATAAATCTGTAAAAGGTACAGCTGGGGGTCTATGCCCCCCCCCCGGAGCAAGTGTGAAAGAAACCAGGTGCCACCACAAGAGTGGGTCCTAGCTATGCTCCCCTGGTGCACAGAGGCTTATAACAGGGTGTTGGGGTACACATGGGGAGAAAGTCGAGAGAAGACCGTACTTCCTCGGGAGCCTTATCTTACTTCCGGTCGAGAACTCCTCAGAGCCCGTGGGATGAGTCCATCTGGCCTGGGAAGGGGGCACTCTGGGAACCCTGGCTTACCTGTTGGGGTAGGTGATGTTGCAGGGCACTTTGCCGGTGTAATTCTCATTAAGCCAGCGGTTCGCCAGGGCCTGCTGGATGTTGGGTCTCTTCACAGGATCCGGCTCCAACAGAGAGCGCAGGAAGTTGATGGCCCCTGGGAAGGTAGGTGACAAAGAATGCACATGCATCACAGGCTAGAGGCAGATGCCACTGAGACTCAAGGCATGTGACCGTTAACACCTTGTTGGGCCCCTCTACTCTTGGGGTCTGTGGGTCTCCCCAGAAAATTGATGATATTCAGAGTTGATGATACACCGTCAGTTCAGGTCACCCTGACCACCTGCAGGTCCAAGTCCTCACCAGACTCTTCTCTTGCACCTCGCTCTAAAAGGCAGCCAAGGGGCTGAAGCAGTAGAACAGTGGGTAGGGCATTTACCTTGCATGCGGCTGACCCAGGGTCAATTCCCAGCATCCCTATATGGTCCCTGCACAGTAACCCATGTGCAACTCTGGGTGTGAACCAAAAAGCAAAAAATAAATAAATAAATAAATAAATAATAAAATAAAAGGCAGCCAAAAGAGGGTTTCACTTACTGGCTTGGGGCGAGAAGAGAAAATACTTATTCTCAAGGTAAGCTGCACGACTCAGCAGGGAGGCATTCTATTTAGACCTCCCCACAAGATACCTAGAATCTCAAGGTAACTTTGATGCCAGAATAAACCGGAAGAACATCCTTTTGCTAGGTCATTCCATCAATGCACTCCCCCAATGAGGCTCCCATGCAGTTAAGATCAGCAGAAGGTCATTCCCCTTTAAGAGCACAATGGGAATCGGAAGAAGGATAAACCCAGGATGATATTACTTATGGGATTAAGAATAACTGGATGAGGGAATGCAATGGCTTGAAGGGGGGATTGCCCCGATCACCCTTGATCCCAGAATACAGGGAGAAGGAAAGGGATAGAGTGAAGGGGGCTATGGGAAGAGACAGATGAGAAGCAATGGGGGTAGGGGTTGGGGGGATTCACGTATTGTTCATGTGAAGAATGATATAAAGAGCCAAATCTTTAGAGTCAGCAACACTGAGACCCAAACTTTATAAGACCAAACTTAAAAAGGTGCCCATCAAGAGGGCAGTCTTGGGAGGACACCTGGGAACATTGGTGCAGGGAAGTTGACACTGGTGGTGGGATTGGTGCTGGAACACTGCCTGTATAAAACTCAACTATGAATAACTTTATAAGTGACAGTCACTGTCACTGTCCTCCCATTCTTCATCCATTTGCTTGAGCGGGCCCAGTAACGTCTCCATTGTGACACTTGTTACTGTGTTTGGCATATCAAATACGTCACAGGGAGCTTGCCAGGCTTTGCTGTGGGCGAGATACTCTCAGTAGCTTGCCAGGCTCTCTGAGAGGGGCAGAAGAATCAAACTTGGGTTGGCCATGTTGGCCGCTTGCAAGGCAAACACCCTACCCGCTGTGCTATCGCTCAAGCCCATAAGTGACAGTACTTTAGTAAAATAAAATTTAAAAATTTAAAAAAAGCAATAGTACACCTAGTAGGGCATTTTGCTTTGTTCACGTCAGTTCCAGGTTCTATTCCCAGTACCCCATCTGGTACCCTGGAGCACTGCCAGGAGTTATTCCTGAATCTAGAGCCAGGGGTAACCTCTGAGCATCAACAGGTGTGGCCCAAAAATAAACAAACAAAACCCAACCTTCCCCACATTTTAAAGATCAAAATTAAATGAATGAATAAATAAATAAATGGATCACCTTCCCTCGCCCCCTCCCTCAAATGCAATGGGTATAAAATATACAGGTAGGCACCAAAGCAGTGGTGAGCTACTCTTCAAGTTTCTTGAAATTTTTTAAGTTTCATCGCTGGGTCACCAAATAAAACTTTCTTGCAATGTTCTGCAATGATCGGAAAAGCCACCTGAGCTCAATAAGAAAAGATTCCTTTCCATGGAACTTATGACTCTCTCTCTGTCTCTCTCTCTCTCTCTCTTTCTCTCTCTCTCTCTCATTCTCTTTCCCTCCCCCCACCTACATTTTAAAGGACATTTGGATGCTTCATCAGGACTACTCTGGGTCAAAGGGAAGAGCTATGGGCTTGATGAACTGAAATAGGGAGTCACAGTGTTAATGACGTAGATGAGACCCTCTCTGTTGCTTACCCTCAAAGGACCTGAACCAATCCCCCCTCCCGCCCCCCTCCAGTAGCCAGCATTTTTTTTTCACAGTATGATTAACCAGAGGAGCTAAGAACAGACTGGATGTGCGTTTTTGTTCTATTTTCAGAACCAAGAGCTCTGCATCTTCGCAAATCGCTGATGAGCACAGTAATTTTAGTTCGAATCTCCACTGACGAATTTCATTCTTTGGACATCACTAACAGTGCATTGCTATTCAAAAAGCACTTAAAAAAAACATCCTTAAAGCTCTTTGAAGTTGGTATTAGGGCTCTGAAAAAATGCCCTGCAGCTCATGAACAAAGGGATTAAAATATCCCCCCATTTCCTGGGAACCACATGGCAGCTGTGGCCACGTACCACCCCCCACTCAATTCTTGGGCTTCCCATATGGATTCTAGGGTATGGGTGACCCATACAAGGTGGGTCCCTCTCCGTGATTCCCCTCACATGTGGTCTAGGCTCCTCCAAAGTCAACCTTACTTTCCCCTAGAGGGGGTCAGCTTTAAAGAGAGAGGTGGATAGATGACCCCTGCCACTGTGTTTAGGTCAAAGTCACAGCAGACAGAGACATCAGCATCTTAGCAGGAGATACAAGGTCTAACAGCATACCCTAAAGCTTCTACTTCATCTCCCCAGGGCAGGATGGTACAGGGGTTAAGGCTCTGGCCTTGCACACAAATGACCCAGGTTTAAATCCTGGGTACTGCATATCACACACACACACACACACACACACACACACACACACACACACACACACACAAGCACTGCTAGGAATCCTCCTTCAGCACAGAGCCAAAAGAAGCCCCTGACCACTGCTGGGTGTAGTCAACTCCTGCCCACCTCCCACCCCCCCACATACAACAAAACCCCTAAAAAGCAGGGGCAGAAGAGTATAGGGATCATTTTTGATGTTCTAAAAATAATTTGAATTAGCAACAGGTCACCCCTCACAGATGCTAAATCGCTTGGTTTTGAGTAATTTTCTGGGGTACCCAAACCTCCCCATCTCAAGCAATTGCTTCGAATAGATGTTAAGTGCTCTAGATGAAACTATGAGCGGCATGAATGACAAGCCTGTTGGAAAGGCATTCCATCCCTGTGATCCATGGGCACCCACAGCAGAAGGGGGAGAGGTCTAGGGGTCTGTCTTCTTGTGCACAAGCCACTCCCCACCCCCAACTCCCGTCAGTGACAGAGGTGAGGGGGGAGTCTTCCAAAGAAGCCACAGGGACGATTCCCAAGAGCACTGAGTGTTTTTCCAACGCCGCAACTGGCCCAGTCATAATTCTTCCGACCTAATCCAAGCACTCTCTGCTGCTCTGGACACGTACATCAGGCTAAACACCTGTGGCCAAAAATCACCAAATCAATATGCTGGGGCTCAGGCATTGAGTGTACAGGAGGAAGTCACTGGAGAAAACGGACTTCTGGAGAATCTGCCTGGTCACATGAGGCAGCACTCACAGCAGAGGGAGAGGAGAGGCTGTCCCCCACACTGAAAGGGGTGGGGGCAGAGGGGCTTCTGATATTAAAGACAGAGAAGAGAGCACAGAGCTTATATAGTTGGAACACCGGGAACGGAGGTCAAGCAGACCCCTCTTCAGAAGTACATCTTGTCCTTCCTTATGAGAAAATTTAATTTCCTGAGACAGAAAACACTCAAGAACCCAGAAATAAATTGAAGTGGGGAGAAAACAAGATTGGTTCAGAAATTAAGAAATTGCGGCATCTCAGGGCTGGAGCAATAGCACAGTGGGTTAGGTGTTTTCCTTGCATGTGGTCAAGATTGGTTCAGAAATTAAGAAATTAAGGGGTTGTAGTAATAGTGCAGTGGGGAGAGTGTTAGCCTTGCACAAAGCTGACCTGGGTTCGATCCTTGGCATCCCATATAATCTCCCAAGCACTGCCAGGAATGATTCCTGAGTGCAGAGCCAGGAGTAATGCCTGAGCATTGGTGGGTGAGATACCCAAAAAGCAAGAGTAAAAGAAAGAAAGAAAGAAAGAAAGAAAGAAAGAAAGAAAGAAAGAAAGAAAGAGAGAGAGAAAGAAAGAAGAAACAAAGAGAGAGAGAAAAGGGAAGGAAGGAAGGAAGGAAGGAAGGAAGGAAGGAAGGAAGGAAGGAAGGAAGGAAGGAAGGAGATAAGGAGAGAAAGGAATAAAAAAATTAAGTTTCATCACTGGAGCGATAGCACAGTGGGTAGGAAAGCACAGTTTTCCTTGCATGTGCCAACCTGGATTCAATCCCCGGCATCCTATATGGTTCCCTGAACACCACCAGGACTGATTACTGAGTGCAGAGCCAGGAGTAACCCCTTAGCATCACTGGGTGTGGACCCCAAGCCAAACAAACAAACAAACAAACAAATTGAGTCTCTTGAGGTGGAATCGGACTTATCCTTGCCTGGCTGCCCACTTCCACCCAGAGACCACCTGCTCCCCACAGGGCCCGTGGTTCATGCCAGTCAAGTTCAACGGATAATTTTAGATTGCTTCCCTCCAGCTATCCCCTAGGGCTATACTTGCACACTCTCTTTAGTTGGGCAAAATCATGTGATGGATGCATTTGGGAAAGGTGGAAGTTATAAGAGGGAGTGAGGAAGTGGGGGAAGGTTTCCTGCGGGTGAACTCCATTCTCTTCCTGTCTTTCTGGTTGAGATGGTGTTTGAGATGGTGAGTGCTCCAACAGCTAGGCATCCGGACTTACTCGGCTGGACAGAACCCCCTGAACTATTGATTCAAATCACTTTAGATACATCACACAAGGATGTGAAATGTGGAATAAAAAGAGGATCTCCGGAACTCCTGCTTGATGGAAAATTGGTGATATTTGTTACTGCAGCTGCACCTGGCTGATCCTGATTAATACAATGAGGTACAATTGTATTTGCCTTTTACAATCTCCATCCTCCTGTCCTCTGTCACCTAAGACAAAACATGCCCCTGGACCATA